AAAAAAATGATCTCAAAATAGGACATTCTTACACACTGGACACAAGTCAGCATTAGAGGAGTTGTCAAATAGCTTTATCTAGAGTACAAGTCACTTCTTAACTAAAAGGTGGACCTCCAAACAGTTGTTATTAACTTCCTACTCATTTTCACAGTTGTTGCTGTTGGGTGTCATCAAGTAAATTTCGATTCATAGCAACCCTATAGGACAGAGTAGAACGTCCCCATAGGGTTTCCAAGGCTGTAATCTTTACAGAAGCAGACTGCCACATTTTCCTCCCACGGAGAGACTAGTGGGTTCAATCCGCTGACCTTTTGCTTAGCAGCTGAGTGTTTAACCACTGTGCCACCAGGGCGTCTATTTTCACAGTAAATATCCCTTAATAGAACTTTCTTCTTGCAACCATAACTCCATTAGAGCATCATGTATGTAGTGTTTTATAACCAGGGGATTCAGCACCCTGAATAGTGAGCCTACTAGAGACAAAAGCCTGGCACTCTGGCTGTGCTCCTGCCTTTCTGAAAAGGCTGAGTTGGGGACCAAAGCACTCCTTTGAGTTTTTCCTTGAAGCCCGGAAATCCTCATGTGGCCCTTGAGATGTAGCTGTTGAGAAAATAACACTGGGCCCGAGACCTGATTTGTTCAGAAGGACATCTGCAATCTCAGACAAAAATCTCTGGACCCTCAGTTTCCCTACTTAACAAATGAGGAGATTACACCAGCTGATCCATTAAGATTAGTTTAGTTCAAATTTCTATTAATAGAATACACTTCTAGCGATTGTCTTAGTTTCCTAGGACTGCCGTAACAAAGTACCACAAACTGGGTGGCTTATAAGAACAGAAATTTATTGTCTCACAGTTCTGGAGGGTGGAGTCCAAGATCAGGGTGTTGGATGTGTTGATTCCTTCTGAGGACTTTATTTCTAAAGTCATATTCACAGGTACAGGGTTTGGACTTCAGTATATCTTTTGGGGGAAAAAAATCAATCCATAACTGTGATGAAGCAGGAAATCTAACATCATCTCTGGAGCTGGTGTACAGGTAGATCAGTTTGGAGCACACTGAGGTTTCAGTTCCTTCTCAACCTCCTAGGACAACCTCATAGTGACTCCAATTCTTCCTCCCTAACTCCATCCTCTGAATCCTGCATCATATTCCAGTGGGCCTTGTATTTGGCGTACTATGCCTGCTCAGAAGTGAATATCCTCCTTGGTGACACACCAGGGAGGGATAGGACATTTCCTATAGGAAGTGTTAAAATATATACATTCACACTCACATCCACACATCCCTACCACCACCATCACCACCACTCACACACACCACCACCACTGACGCTCATACACACACAACACTACCACCGTTACCATCACCTCCACCTCCACCACCTACACTCACTCGAACACACACCACCACCACCATCACTTCCATGACCATCACTCACACACACCACCACCACCACCGTTACCATCACTATCACCACCACTCACACGCACCATCACTACCACTCACACACACACCACCACCACCTCCACTACCACCATCACTCACTTATACACACTACCAATGTTACCATCACCACCACCTCCACCATCGTGCACACTCACTCACACACACACAACCATCACCTCCACCACCATCACTCATATACACCACCATCATTACCATCAGCTTTACCACCACTCACATTCACACATACCACCACCACTCACACACACCACCACCACCACCATCTCCACCAACACCACTTTTACCATCACCACTCACCCACCCACCTACACACACACACACCACCAACACCTGCACTACAACTACACCATCATCACCAATATCACCACTACCTCCATCACCACCACTATCACCAACCCTCCACCACCACCATTGTTGCCAACACCATTGTCACCACCACCACCTTCATTTCCATCATCACCTGCATCACTACCACCATCACCACCTCCATCACCGCTACCACCAACACCATCACCATCACCACCACCAATACCATCACCATCACCACCACCATCATCACCACTTCCACCATCACTACCCCATCATCACTACTTCCATGACCACCACTGTTACCACCACCACTTACCACCACCACCACCACCATTATCACAGTCGCCTCCGTCACCATATCTTATTACAAAATGGTAACCTAACAAACGAAACTAGCAGTTACAAAAATTATCTCTTAATCCAGGGGTGAGTCTAAACATTTCCTGATTTTGAACTGTTATCCTAGGTGTCCATTTAATGTCTGTATTATACACACCACAGTGGTTCTGGAGGCCCCAGAGCATCTGCTTGACTAGTCAGTCTGGCACTCACTGTTCTAATTATGCCAAACAAGCCATGGCAGTGTGCAGATGAGGGCATGCTGACAGGCTAGCAGGCTGGCCTGCTGGATGCCTGCCTGTCCCCTCCTCACCAGGTGGGAAAGGGAAGCACAACACTCAAGGATATGTCAACAAGCATTTGGCTGTGGTCCCACAGTTCACCAGAGTTACTGGGCATTTGTCTGACAGGTTGTAGGGAGTGAGTGGCCAAGGGTAGGTCCAAGGGACCCTGGCAGTTGACCCAAATGTTGAGGGCCTTTAAAACCAATGTCACCCTTCGGTTAGGTTGTAGGAGGCTTTATACCAGTTCAGCAGTGGCAGCACCTGCCAGTTCCCTGTTAAATACAGAAAATCGGAGCTGGAGCCACTGGCTCCTGACTCTTGTTTGACCCTACTCATCACTTGGTCAAGTTCCTATGATGTTAATACTGTGAGCTACTTCTCTTTTCTGTTTACGGGAGCTATTTAGTAGAATTAACTTATTTTCACATTCTTCAGAATGACACTGCTCATACTTTTCTTTGGAATGTTCTTCAAAAAACATTTCAACCTCTTTAATATGAAAATCTCTTACCCACTCATCAATTTTTTTTAATATTTAAGTAGGACTGTAATCAATAGAATGAAATAAATATATGATCATATTTAAAATTGTATTTTCTCTAATTTTGAATTTGTCTAAAAACTGGAAAAATCTTAAACCTACAGTTTAATTTTTTTTTCCTCCTGTGGGTATGTAAATAAGTTTTGTACATTTGTTTAGAATTTACACTCCAATTCACTTCCTAAAATTAGAAAGTGACTGACCATAGCAGTCAGCATTTTTTCACAAAGTATAATTTATTCTGGAAAGGCATATAATCTTAACTAAAATCATTTACTAAAATGACTTCTTTAGTGACCAAGTTCAAGTCTACAGTCAGACTTGGGTTCAAATCCCAGCTCTGCCACGTCTTGGAGATTTGACCTTGGAGAGTTACCCTCTAAGTCACAGGGTAAGTGCAATAAACTGTGGAAATTACTGCCGCTTGCCTGTTTAAACTGTGGAAATTACTGCCGCTTGCCTGTTTAAATTCTCCGACAAGCCAGAATTTATAATTCCATATAGACTCAAGTGAAGTTAATTTGTGTACAAATCATTTATCACGTAGTATAAATATGATTGCTGGGAGGAAAAGATGCTTCAAAATTTTAGCATATTGGTTATTTATAAATCTATATGACAGTTCCTAAGTACGGGTGATTCCATTAGTTTAAAAAGGCATAGTGTCATATACCATTTGACACCAAATTCCACTTGTAGGAATTTACAGGATAGCTATCCTCATGTGCACAATGATGTATGCACCAAATTATTCATTGTGGCGCTATACTAAAGGAAAAAAATATAAACAATGTAAATGCCCATTGGTAGAGAACTGGTTAAATAAAACATGGTACAACTACATAACGAATACTATGTATCCATGAAAGAGGGGGAAGTTCTCTGTATCAAGGTATACTACTACTAAGTGAAAAAAGTAGCCTGTAGAAGAGTGCTTGTAGCATCATACCAAGTGTGAGTAGAAAAAAGGGAATAATCTATGTAGGTTTGAAAATACATATTCCTGCAAGCATATAAGACAACAATAAGAATGGCTGCACTCCAGGGAGGAAATTTGTGAACCAAGGGAGTTATACCTAACACTATCCTTTAAGATTTTATATTGTGTGCATATCCAAAAATATTTTTGTAAAGAAAATAAAGGCATACTAGGATTTCTACCTCCACCACCTGTCTGTCAGTTTGCTGTACTGGGGTCGCTTGCATGTTGCTACGATGCTGGAAACTATGCCAGCAGTATTTCAAATACCAGTAGGGTCACCCATGGTGGACAGGTTTGAGCAGAGCTTCCAGGCTAAGACAAAGCAGGAAGAAAGGCCTAGAGATTACTTCAGAAAATTAGCCAATCGAAATCCTATAGCTCACAAGAGAACATTGTCTGTTGCTTTGGACATGTCATTGGGAAAGACCAATCCCTAGAGGAGGACACCATGTTTGGTGAAATGAGGGCCAGCGAGGGCAAGGGAGACCCTTGGTGAGATGGATTAGCTTAATACCCACAAGGATGGACATCAATATGCATGCAATCATGAGGATGACGCAGGATGCAATGTCTCATTCTTTTGTACATAGGGTCACCATGAGTCAGAGCTGACTTGGTGGCAGCTACCTACCTACCTACCTACCTACCTACCTAGAAGTCCCTGGATGGTGCAAACAGTTAAGTGCTTGCCTACTAACTGAAAGATTAGTGGTTTTAACCCACTCAGAGGTGCCTTGGAAAAGGCCTGGCAAAACATCACAGCCTTAAAAACCCTATGGAGCTGTTCTACTCTAACACACATGGGGTCACCGTGAGTTGGAGTTGACTGGTTTGGATTTTTTGGTATCTATGTATCAGGATTTCTACATGAAAATATATTTAGTGTGCTTTCAACTAATAAAACATGTATTTCAAGGTATTTTAAATTCAGGTTGCTCTCCCATCTTAAGCTACCTATGATTGTAGTTGGTTCAATTTTACCACACACAGAGTAAATTCAATTGAACTTGCTCACCCCGTTCCTATTTAATGTAGTGTGTTTTGAAATTTATATTTAAATTGATAGTAAAGAACTCCATAAAGAGAAAAAGGAAGAGAAAGAAGAGCAGACACCATTAAGGACACAAACGTTTATGTGATTTTAGCCATTACAACAGTAGTTCAGAGCTATCGCAAATGTTACACTGATGTCATCAATATTACAAAAAATAAAAATTAAAAAAAAGGGGGAAAAAAGTGACAGGCAACAGTGAAGAGCACCAGAGACCCAGCGCACACCTAAATATACCATGCTTCTTCAACTGCCAAGAGATTTCACCAGTACGCCCCCCTCCCCCTTGCTTTCCTCCTAAATCTTTCCCTAACTTGCTTTCAGTTCTGAATTTAAGCCTCATCCTCGCCCTCCTCCTCCTCGAACTCCCCTTGCTCGTCGGCCGTGGCGTCCTGGTACTGCTGGTACTCGGACACCAGGTCGTTCATGTTGCTCTCGGCCTCGGTGAACTCCATCTCATCCATGCCCTCGCCCGTGTACCAGTGCAGGAAAGCCTTGCGCCGGAACATGGCCGTGAACTGCTCCGAGATGCGCTTGAACAGCTCCTGGATGGCTGTGCTGTTGCCGATGAAGGTAGCTGACATCTTGAGGCCACGGGGTGGGATGTCGCACACAGCCGTCTTCACGTTGTTGGGGATCCACTCCACAAAGTAGCTGCTGTTCTTGTTCTGCACGTTGAGCATCTGCTCGTCCACCTCCTTCATGGACATGCGGCCCCGGAAGATGGCGGCCACGGTCAGGTAGCGGCCATGGCGGGGGTCGCAGGCAGCCATCATGTTCTTGGAGTCGAACATCTGCTGGGTGAGCTCGGGCACAGTCAGGGCCCGATACTGCTGGCTGCCCCGGCTGGTCAGGGGGGCAAAGCCGGGCATGAAGAAGTGCAGCCGGGGAAAGGGCACCATGTTCACAGCCAGTTTGCGGAGGTCTGCATTCAGCTGGCCTGGGAAACGCAGGCAGGTAGTGACCCCGCTCATGGTGGCCGACACCAGGTGGTTGAGGTCCCCATACGTGGGGGTGGTCAGTTTCAGAGTACGGAAGCAAATGTCGTACAGGGCCTCATTGTCAATGCAGTAGGTTTCATCTGTGTTCTCCACCAGCTGGTGGACAGACAGGGTGGCGTTGTAGGGTTCAACCACGGTGTCTGACACCTTCGGAGAAGGCATGACGCTGAAGGTGTTCATGATGCGGTCAGGGTACTCCTCCCTGATCTTGCTGATGAGCAGTGTGCCCATCCCAGAGCCAGTGCCACCCCCCAAAGAGTGGGTCAGCTGGAAGCCCTGGAGACAGTCACAGCTCTCAGACTCCTTCCTCACCACATCCAGCACCGAGTCCACCAGCTCTGCTCCCTCTGTGTAGTGGCCCTTTGCCCAGTTATTGCCAGCACCGCTCTGGCCTGCCAGAGGGAAAGGGACTTCATCAGTCACTAGTGATTGCATTAAATTCTTTCTTATCTTAAACTCCTTAATACAGACCACTGAGTCAGCACTCAGATGAAATTATTTCAAGTTACCACCAAAACAACGAGATATTAAAATATGTGGTCATGGGTATAATGATAAATAAGGAAGGCTAGAACACCTGGCTATTATAAGTTGAAAGGCAAATATTTTTCTAGCCTATATGAGGACTAAGTTGGCCCACAACTGGATGTTCTTCATACTGCCTTCAGTAGCCCCACCCTGCCCCGTGAGCTGCCCAGTATAAAAGGAGCCCACACTATTCAGCTATGCAGTCACTTACCGAACACGAAGTTGTCCGGCCTGAAGATCTGGCCAAATGGCCCAGACCTGACTGAGTCCATGGTGCCAGGCTCCAGATCCACCAGGATGGCCCGCGGTACGTATTTATTACCTGCATAGGACAAAAGCTGGTCTGAGACCTGCAGGCAGAGCGCCCTGCTTCCTCTTTGCAGACACTGCTGTGGCTCAAACAAAGGAGGGAAAGGCTCTCAAAGGACTGGGGTGAGTGCAGGGAAGTCCCCTGAAACACTGCAGTGAAGAGGGGAGGTTCCTAAACCCTCTGTCCTGACCTCCCCAGTGCCACATCCCTGGGGTCACCCCAGGGAAAAGAGGGGGAGGGGTAAAGGCAATTACCAGTGGCTTCATTGTAGTAGACATTGATTCTCTCCAGCTGCAAGTCACTGTCGCCATGGTAACTGCCAGTGGGGTCGATACCATGCTCATCACTGATGACCTCCCAAAACTGAGGGAAGAAAAAGCCTGCATTTAGCCATGCACCAACCGCAGAGACGCACCTCACAATAAAAAACCTTCGACTCAGTTGCGACAACCCAACCTTCGGGAGCTTTCAGAGTCGCCTGACCCGGGCACAGCCTGCAGAGCTTGGGTTTGCTAGTGTCAGAAAGTCGAAACTGGGCGTTTCCCGGGCGAACAGCTGTTCGCAGCAGGAGGCAGGGGTCGCGGTGGGAGGAGGGAGGCGCTTGGTGCCCGCCCTGCCGCAGAGCGTCTCTAGGCACGAGAAGCAGCAGCTGGGCTGGACTGCAGGTTCACCGCCGAGGGGGGCGGCGGCTGGGCAAAGAGAGGACTCAGGCCCGCGGGAAGGGGGTGGGGCGGGGACCGAGCTCAAGGAGGGTTATTTTACATTCAAAGCACGTCCTTCTACCGCGCGACAATCGCTTTCCTACTCCCCCTCCCCCTCTCCGCAGCCTGACTCCGGTTCAAGCAAGTAAAATCCATTCTCCGCGTCGCCCGGCCCCACCCACTGCGAGCGCGCTGCCCCGCATACACACACACGCCTCCCGAGCGACGGGGTGGGCAGAACAGGAGACGAAATCGTGGGGGGGCCGAGAGTCCATGTGAGGTACAGCAAAAATCAAAGCTTCCACCCCCGCGCCCCAGGAGGTGGCCTCCAGCCCTGGCCATCCGCTGAGGGCGCGGCCACGCCCCACTCCCGCAGTACAGAGCGGCAGGGAAGATCTACCCTCCGGGAGCCCGCCTGCCCAGGACCGCTTCCGCGCCCGGCTGGCCCGGAGTGCGCGCCCTGCCGGGACCCTAGCGCCCCCGGCCAGGCCCCTCCCCGGCGCGGGCTCACCTTGGCGCCAATCTGGTTGCCGCACTGGCCTGCCTGGATGTGCACAATCTCACGCATGATGTCTCGCAAGCTCCCTTCCCGGCTCTGGGCGGTGTCCGTTCGATATGTCTGTCCTTCCCTACGCACCCACTGAGGGCAGGAGGACTGCACTTGGGAACTGTTCGGCTGAGAACAGGGGTGCTGCGGAGTCGGCCTTTTATGCCGGGAGGGCGGGGCGCCCGCGCAGGCCGCGCCGCCAGCCAGAGCCCACCAGTCCCCGCTCGTCTGGCCTAGCTGACGTAATGCTCCAAGCCCTGGGGACAGACAGGGGGGCTGGACCCGGGCCCCGCGGCCTATCAGCACGGCCACGCGGCCCGGGCGAGGGGTGGGGACTCCGAGAGTGAGGTGGGGGCGTGCGCATTGTCTAGGGCTGCGAGAAAGGGGGGGGAAGCACAGTGTTCGGGAGCTGGGGGCGGCGGGCCGCGGACGCCCCGCCAGTGCACGTCTGTGGGTGGGGTAGGGGGCCAGGGGTACCTGAACACTGGGAAAGGGGACCGGCAGGAGCAGGTGGAGGGGCCGGCAGGTGGGTGGTGGCGGTTGCTGGCGCGGCGCGGCGCTGCGCTGCTGGCGCGGATTCCGGCTCCTCTTCCGCACGACCCCAAGCTCCCCCTGCCCACCCGATGCAGGTGAGATAACTGTCCCCCTCCTCCAGTCCTGGAGGCCAAATACTGCCCAGAAGTCGACTTCTCGCCACACACAGCCTTGGGAGCGGACAGGCGGCCCCTGGCGGAAGTCATGCGTGATCGGGACGTTGGTGTCTGAGGGGCGCGCCCCAGGACCCAGCGGCCCAACGGCCCCAAGTTGCCCTCGGACGGTTCCCTTCTTTGTCTCCGTCCAGGCCCGCTTCCTCCTTTCCCTGCAGCCGCAGCACCCTTGGTTCGGGCGACCTCGGCCACCCAACCCTTGCTCATCCCCTCCCAAAGTCCACTTGCGCCCGGACTGCGGCCGAGGTCCCCTCCCACCCTGCGGGCTAGCTTTTGCTCCCCGAGAGCGGAGGTGGGTGTGGCTGGCTGCGGAGTTTGGACCATCGTGCAGGCAGAAACCGGGGTGAGTCTCGGGGAGGAACTGCTGGCAGAACAAAGGCGTGGGCTTCATTTTGCAATTGTGGACTTAAAATCAGCCAGGCGCTCCCCTCTCCTGACTCAAAGGGTGGCGGTCGCCCGCCCCGCCGCGAATATTTGCGTTGTCCATTCATTGTGCGCCGGATCCCGCGGCGGTTGTAACCGCGAGTGCTGGGGAGGAGGCCGGCCACGAGGTCCCCAGCCTCGTGCTGCGGGTAGGGTTGGGGACACGCCTAAAATCTGCCGTGCCGGCGAGGTTGGTGCCCCCGAGACACTCACGCACCCGCTAGCGCATGAGCAGAAGCGGAGCAGGACCCCTCCCCTGAAAAATCCGCACTCTAGGTATTCGATAAAGGAGCCGATCTCTTTGTTGCTCTCCGTGTGTGTATATGTTTGTGTGTGTGTGTGTGTATGTGTGTGTGCGGGTGTGTGTCTCCAGAGGACAAATATGTGTGCGCTGGAGGGAGGGAGAGGAGAGAGTGGCAGATACGGCCACTGCAAACCCGAAACCCATCCCCTGCAAAGCCACGAGGGTGGCGCCCCTTCCCCGACGCTGGACCGGCTGTGTGCTGGGTGACTGACCCTTTTCACCCTCTGGTGAGAGGGGCTTCCCACAGCGGAATGGAGCCTGCAGCTGTTGAGTGCGATCCTCCCAAGACTATCAGCAAGCTGTCATCGCCTTCCTTTCCCGGGGCGGACTGGGAGGGGGGCTTTCTCTCAAATCAATGCCAAAGCACACAGAGAGGTCGATAGAACAAAACCCAGCCTCTCCCTTCCCCTAAACACGCCCTACTCCCGGACTGGAGCTCGTGGGGCAGGGTACCCCAGACACGGTGGCTAGTGCCAGGTTAGGGTGGGGTTGGGTGAGAGAGGGGAGCAGATGGCCCAAATGCCCAGCTCTCGAGGTTAAAGGACGCAGGCCCTGAGTCTGACCCCAAATTTCTAATCCACCTCCTGCAGACTCAGAAGCCATCGAGGGTAAACCGATTCCCAAGGTCACACAGCGACCTGAAAACAGGGCTCGGGCTGGAATCCTGTCTACCGGCGCCTAGCCGCTGAGGAAGGTGACCGCCCACGGGCCGAAAGGGCGGTGGCAGGTGTAAACTCTGGGCCGCAGGTGGCCGCTCCGATGGGGCCGAAGGACCGCTGCATCAGCGCTGCGAGTGTAAACGCACCGGAGCCGTCCGCCCTGATTGCAAGCGCATAGGAGGAGCCCGACAGCTGCGCTCCGGCTCTGGGTTCCACGCTGGGTAATGCGAGCCGGCCGGTCGCCTCCTTCACCTAACGATTTCATTTCTCAGCTTTGGTTTCAGAGCCAGATCTCCGCGAAGCCCCGGGTGAAAACGCTTGTTCAAGATTATGTAGATGAAAAGACACTCCCCTCTCGAATTTCTTTAGGGGACAGGACTTGGGGTAGGGTGAGGCTGGAAATAATCCCCCTGGGGAATTTTTGGTCCAAGATCTCCTTTCTTTTTATGCCTGCATTGCCCCTCCCCTCCCTCCGGGAGGGATGAGCCGAAGGAGCCTTCTAGTTACGGGTTCTCTCCCCACCCACACCCCATTGGGAATAACGTTGCCGCTCGTTTTTATTCCCACCAGGAGCTGATTTGGTGTCGAAAGGTTGAATGCCGATGTGGCCATCGACTTTTCCTGAAGTCCTTCAGTTTATCTGTTAACCTTTCTTTCTCTTTCTTTTTTTTTTTTTTTAAACCATCTTTATTCCATGTAATTCCCCAAAAGAGACTGGCAGGGATTTTCACAGCAAACAAACAAACGGATCCTATTGTGGTACATTTTCGATTAGGGTCCCAGCATTTTTTTTTTTGCCTGCTTGCTATTGTACATAATTCCTCTCAATCTAGGTCAGTGTGTATCAGATATGAAAGTCTCAGAAGCAGGTATTTCATCATCACTTCATGCAGTTAGCTAAGTGATGTACAGTACTAACATTTTTAAATTTTCCCCTCCAGGGACAATTGTAAAAGAAATATCGCTGTCTAAAATAAAATTCCACATTTGTTTTTTTCTCCACAGTACTGTTCTACATTTTTTCCACATAACTGATTGTATAGCTGAGGTGAGCAAGATATTCCCTAAACCTTTAAAATTACATTTGCGCTCACAGTTTTCAGATTATTTTTAATGGCAAATTCTCAAGTGATCTCACGTTTATCTATTACACAAAGAGAGTAATTGTTTTAAGTAATCGAGTAAGGCTGATAGAAACACAGATTTATGTAGATAATTCGGTAGTAAATTTTAAAAGCTTGTCTTCTTAATGCAAAGTATTTTTTCACATCTGTATTTCCCGGCCAAAACATCTAGCTTTCAGATTTTGTCCCAGAGCCTGCGTGCATTCACCCCTTAAAACTCAGCCCGCAGCCCATCGGCCTGACAGCCCACTATGCAGCCGATCTGTACGCGGTTGCCTAGGCAACGCACACTTAGCCTATGAGCGAAGAGGAATTGAAAGAGGCTGCAAATCCATCGTTATTTCCTTTTACCCTTCTCAATGCTCTCCACTCTAAAATATTGAAAAGCTACCAACTCTAACATTTATGTAAAGTAGCCAAATGTCTAGAGGACTGGGGCTACGACGGGTTGGCAGGCCCATATTGTGAGGGTGGGGCGAGAGTGGGGGGTTCCGGGGACCCATGGAGATGCTGGCTTTCCCCAGCTTCGCAGCTTTTTGGTCCGCATCCCACTTCCGCCCCCTCTCCTCCCAGGCCGGCCCTCTGGATGGGGCCGAGTTGCCCGGGCCTTGTTCTCAAAGGGGCTGCCGTCCTTGCCAAGCCTGGGACTTGGTGGGGACCTAGTGCCCAGGTAACAAAGGGCTGGAATGAGCAGAGAATCCGAGTCCGTGAGTGCGGCCGGGTGCGGAAACATTCACCTCTTTGTTCCTCAACAAGGCGGGGTGTTTTCCCAGAGCCAGCCATCTGAATTTGGGTTTAAAAGGCCTTGGCGCGGACTGAAAGTGCTGCCCTTTCGCCGAGGAGACTTACCTCCTTTCTAATACAAATCCGCCTAGGGAGTGGAGCTCAGGCTTTCTGAGCGGCCATTTCCCTTTTATAGGCGGTCTTGCCCTCCCCCACACTATGAATTATTTGTAAGGGTTTTAGACGGGATGGGGGAGGGCAGCCGCGGAGAATGTCGCACTGTGAATCCGAGGGAAACGGCATTTCGTGACCCAGAGCGAGATTCTACAGAAAACAAACAGCAGAGTGGAAAGTACTCTTAAATGGAAACATAAAATACTAAAATGTACACGTGCCGCTGGCAAATTGCTGTAGGTAAAAAATAGACAGATCCCTTGTAAAATGAACGAGGACACACAGGAAGATAAGATGTGAGCCATCTTAAATTACAGCAGAAAGTTGCTATGATACTGTTGTGATTCTAGGGCTGCCACCGTGCATTAGAAACTGTTCCACCAGCAACTGCTGCTGCTAACGGCACACCAGCTAACGATTTCCCTTCTAAATCAGTCCTGGAGCCTTTGCTTGTTATCTAAATAAAATTTAAGCTTGTGGATTAAGATAGATAGATGCACACACTTGCATATGCATTCCTGGAGTAACCCCTTTGTCTCAGGTCTAGATGCATTCACTGTGTCTTCACTGTACAAGCAGCTTCTGAGCAGAAGCTCTTTTAGCTTGATATGCCCAGCCTGCTTTTGAGTGGCCACCAAATATCTGTGCTACATTTTTCAGAAAACAATACATTAAGAGAATTTCTGGGTGAACGCACTGCCTCTTTCAAACTAATCCCTAAAGAAGTAACTTATCAAAACGTTTAGTTTCTCAGTATCTCCTAAATATATTTTTTTTATCATTAAACTGTACATAAACATCGTTTTATCACATTGGTTAATAACACCATGACATGTCAGTACTCTCCCTTCTCCACCTTGGGTTCCCTATTGCCAGCTTTCCTGCACCCTCCTGCCTTCTAGTCCTTGCCCCTGGGCTGGTGTGCCCCTTTAGCCTTGTTTTGTCCTATTGGTCTGTCTAATCTTTGGCTAAAAGGTGAACCTCCGGAGTGCCTTCATTACTGAGCTAAAAG